AGTAATCTAATCTAGGTCTACCTCTACCCCTCCTAACTCCTGCTTCTGCCTCTAATATCTCTCTGACTAGACCTTCATGCCTGAGAAGGTGTCCTACCAACCTATCTCGCCTATTTTTAATTGACTTCCATAAAGTCCTCTGTTCTTCTATTCTTTCTAATACCTCTTCATTTCTAACCTTTTCTACCCACGATATCCTCATCATCCGCCTATAACACCACATTTCGAATGCTTCTAACCTTTTCTTTTCAAATAAAGATAAGCGTAAATTAAGAAAATATGGAGAGAAAATGCTCACGAAGAGTCTTTTTCGTGATTGGGCAGACAAGAAAAATTTTTTTGCTTGTGACCGAGGAATTCTTTTAGAAATTGTAAAAAATTACTTACAAGTGTTTTGAGAAAGGACAGAAGCAGGGGTGTAGGTGCTCGGGGTTGACGTCAGAACCGAATTCAGGATCATGTGTGCAGACTGCAAGGACGAAGTTATAAATAAAACGGTGAAAACATCATTTTAATGTTAATAAAATAAATTAGCCTTTAGTATTAATAGATACAAAAAGGTGAATTGACATGATGTGAAGAAAATTTTTCAAATAGTGCGTTGCGTATTCTCATTTATTTTTGTTTTCGTTTCTTTTCAGTTTCAATTACGGCTTTGAAGAATCGTTACATGTCTGTCAGCGGGTTCGTAAAGACATTTTTATTAGGCCCCCGACCAACCTGGCGTTCAGGTTGCGGCGTTCGATCGTGTAATTGCAGCCATTTCAGAAATTCCTTGAAAAAACGCATACAAATCGAGATTCCATTTCGAAAAGAAACGACAATCGTGATTGGCAGGAGAGCTCCTCATCTCTCCTAGGAATTCATCAGCTTAGTTTAAAATAATGTTAATTAATGCCAGTGATTGCCACAATGGGAGACTGTCGCCTTATTTGTGTTTCAGGCATCGGGATCACGATTACTAACAGGAACAATTATCGGCCGTGACCATCGATAGATGTGGCGCCTTTGATTTTAGCCGATATCAACACAATGCGCAACTTTTATTTCATTTAAAAACGAAATTTACATGCCTTAAAACCTTTACAATTAAAATAGTCGTTTTTCTTTGGGCAGCGCTCCTAACATTGTAACAGTTGCTATGTACTTTATTACGTATTTTTACTGTTGATATATATTCCGTAAGAAAAAGGGCGGAAGAACCGTTGGGGGAAGACCAATGTGGGTTTACGGTAAAAGAAATAGACGAACGCGTGTAGTCATTCCAACTTTACGGGTAGTAATAGAGAAAAGAAACAGAGGATACATAGGATTCGTAGATTTAGAGAAAGTTTTTGACAATGTTAAATGGGACAAGATGTTAAATATACTTAAAAATGTAGGTATGAGTTACAGAGATAGAAGAGTGATACTTAGTTTGTATAAACAGCAACAGGCAGTTATAGAGCTGGGGCTGCAATGTAGAGAAGTAAATGTTAGGAAGGGAGTCAGACAGGGATGCACACTGTCACCGCTACTTTTTAATCTATACATCGAAGACGCCATCAACATCATTAACTGTAAGGATAGATATACAGGGGCAAAAGATTAATTTGTTTAGATTTGCAGATGATATAGCAGTATTAGCATCTAGCAAGGAGGAGTTAGAGATAGATTTGAATAAAATGGATGCGGTGTTGACAAAGCAGTTATCATCATAAGGTTGTCAGTCCTAAGACTGGTTGGACACGTATCTCCACTCTTTCCTATCCTGAGCTAAACTTCGCATTTCCCTAAAACTAGAACAGCCCACATCCTTAACTATTTGCGAACAGTAATCTAATCTAGGTCTACCTCTACCCCTCCTAACTCCTGTTTCTGTCTCTAATATGTCTCTGACTAGACCTTCATGCCTAAGAAGGTGTCCTACAAACCTATCTCGCCTATTTTTAATTGACTTCCATAGAGTCCTCTGTTCTCCTATTCTCTCCAATACCTCTTCATTTCTAACCTTTTCTACCCACGATATCCTCATCATCCGCCTATGACACCACAACAGCAGTATTGTATGAAAAATAAAAGTAAAACAGAAATACTGGTATGTAAGGAAGGAAAAAGGAGAGAAAGTGATTATAAAAATAGGAGATTAAATATTATATGAAGTTTATGAGGAGGTGCGACTAACGCCCTTATGATGATGATGATGATATTCCTTAATTTGTCATCAGCCTATGTTCACCCTGAAGATTCATTCTAAATATTGGTGAAATAATTTTTGAAATCGGATCAATAGCTTCGGAGATTACCTACATTCAAACTTACCAACTTTACCTGATTATATGATTAGTATAGATAAATATAAGCTCTAACACCTTCACGAACTTTAACCCTTAAATATTATTTATTAGTGCTCCCGTTTGGAAAGTGGTCTAGATAGACTAAACCTTTATTAAACAAAATTAAAATCGAAATACTAATTGAAACCGCTTTATTATTTTTAGCAAAATTCGTGGTAAAGAATATGTTTACTTTAAAGATTCCAAAAAACAATTGTTCCACTTTTCTATGGTCTTGTATGTACCATGGTCTTACACTAAAGATACGGGCCCGACGCTGGAAGTTGGCGGAAATTTTAAAATGATGTGGATGCGCGGTGGCAAAAGTAGGCAGTTTTAGGTATAAAGATTCCAGCCCTCATTCTTCAGTATTCCTATCAGGGGCGTAGATTAAATATTTAAAAATAGGGATCAGTGAGGCAAGTAATAGACAGACAAACAGAAGAACTAATTGTTGATGTTGGTGACAGTGATAGAGATTCCCATGATGACAGTGAATATTTTTTTCTTTTTGATAAGTCATGTTTTTACATTATTTTCTAGTACGCTACTGTCCTATCTGTATTAATACTATAATTTACGCCTACTGAAAGCTTATTTGTGTATCGGTTCCAAGTGAGTTACCCAAATAGGTCATAAATGGGCAAGTACCTGCGCGACCGCTCGCCAGCTTCCTTCGTCATACCTGTACTTAGAGTTCAGGTGCCATATTAAGGTTTTTCTACTTACCTTACGAAAACAGTAATAAAATATTTTTTTTTTATCAAAATCACACACAGGCATATTTTTCGTCAGTTTATTTCTACCATACTTGTATTGTCTTTTAACAGAATATATCAATTTCCAACGTAAAGCCGCTCAAATTCAATTACTACAAAAATTATTTTTTTTTATAACAAAAATGTATTTGGTGTTGTCGTCTTCTATTTTTTCGTTTTCTTTCGTCGTTAAAAATGTAACCATAAATTTTATTGATATGTAATGTAACTTAACACTTATGGCGATACATTAAAAGTCTTATAAATCCATTGTTTACAACAAACTCATATAAACCTAATTAAATTAGGTACTATACATACTTACAATAGGAACTAATGAAATAAATAAGTATATTATGGTAGACCATTTTCTTCCCTCCTTCTTGTTTCTTTTTAATATTATTCTTCGGGGGGTTTTGTGCAATATCTTTCGACCATCAAGTCTAATAAGTTTTCGAATTTCTGATGGCGTTCGAAAAAATCTGCCCGAGCGCCTTGACTTCCCCATAGGAATTTTAGTAAAAATTCAGTTTTGAACATGTCTAAAGTTAAATCTTCCATTTTGGCCTCGGAAAGTACAATTTCCGCATTCCTTTGGAAAGTCGGACTTAGATCTAGAAATTTCCTAGCCGCTTCTAAATGGTAATGTAAAATACTCAGACCGAAATCCTGAGAATTCGAATGCCACGTTGTCATAAAGGGTAAGTCTTGATTTTGTTCGTTTGATGGTAAAAAACTTTCTGAAGTTTTTTCTAATAGTAAAATCATCGGCAGTAGATGAGGTATCGTTGTATTTGGTGCTTGTGGATTTGAGCAATTATCCATGTTCTTTAACGTCGGTTTTAGCTTTGCTTCGAAATTAAAGGCGGTGTTTGTATACCTTTGACGCAATAAATGCCATGTAGTGTCTAATTTTTGAATCTGAAAACATTTTTTAAGAAAATATCGTACTAATTATCATCAAATTAGTAATTTTATTAGCAGCTGTCATATAAAATCGATTTGACATATTAAGAGTTAGGTTAGGTTACACACTCATTAATGTCCAACCTATCCCAACCTGTATGTCAAATTCTTAAAACAATGAATAGAAATTAACAGAAACTAAACAATCGGAATATTGTAAAGAAGTAAACATTACAGTGGGTTTTCTTTGCTGTTGTTGTTTTTCTTTTTGTGACTTTCACCTAGTGGAAAACCTACCTGTGGTAGACATAGTCCCATCATTACGCCTGAAAACCCATATAAATTCCCTAAAGCAGTTTTAGTATCGACTGCAACTTCAATCCACTTGTTTACCATTTCGGTACGTTCTTCATCATCACAGCAAGTCAGTATGGTAACAGCAACTAATAACTTTAGACAGTTGGCCCTGCAAGGTCAATTTTCATATAAATTACCTACATAAACATTCCAGCATCATCTACATTCAAAATCTAGACAAAATAATTATTATCATTCTTATTTTGGTAATTTTGTAAAATTATTTGTGGAACAATCCTTGTATATCGATAATTTTCCGCATGGCTGAGTCGACAATGTGATCTTAGTAAACAAATAAGACTACAGTGATATTTATTAACATTAACGAAAGATGAACTTTCACTTTCTAATAAACAAGCTTTCGATAGACCCTCTCCAGAACACGTTCGAGCTTGCTCTGTCATGCCATAAATAGCAGTAAAACCTTTCGCATGATAACGCGATAACGCGGGTCGGTTTTGTCTTCGAATTGTTACGTGCGGGAATACGGTTTTCGCGAATGACTTTTAGTTTAAGTGCATATATAATTACTGTAGGTGTTTATGTACAATTAGTGAAAAATGGTACTTCACGGGGATATAAACTTTTTACTTCTTGAAAAGCAAGAAAGAAAAAGGAAAAATCTCGAAGGGAAACAATGCTGGCATTGGTGAGTACATTCTTTTGACATTCTTATCCATTTGTGATTCTTGATATTAGCAAAATGATGAACACCGGAAGCATACAATACTTTAGCAAAAAGTATCAATGTTCCTTGAGCGCATAAAATTTTAGAAAAACCTATAAAACTTCCCAACTGGTTAAGGTTTGATGAAAAGTGCTATTTGTAACATTCGCTCACATCCGATCAGACATAAATGTTCTAGATTACCTCGGTAACTTAACAAAAGTAAAAGTTAGTATCAAGGTGGATCATCAAAAGATTCTGAAAATCACAAATTTTTGATTTTTCACAAAGTTGTTGGTGTAATTTAATGCAATAATTACCTATCTTCTCATCTTGTATTATACATATAGTTTCATGCCTCTTTGGGACGCACAAAAGTGAAAGATCTTTTCAAAATTACTGATATCTTATCAAAGGTATAAATATGAAAGAAGGGGCCAGGTTCGGTAAAAATAACGTACGGGATTGCTGGTTAAAAGGGTTGAAATCTGAGTCGGTGCCAAGTTCCATGCAAGGTGCAATGAAGTTAGATTATTCATTGGTATTGAATTGAATCGTAATTTATTGATTATTTATTAGAATTTACCAATCGATAAAAGCAATATCAATGAACTTAATTGGTATATATCTTATATGGAACTTCAGGTCTCAGCCTCTTTACAGAACTCATTGCTAAACTTGACCCCTTATTCGAATTTGTGTTTTCTTATGATTTTGACCTCTTTCTTACCTTTCTATTAAATCATTTCGAAGTTGATGACCATGCGATAGTAATAGTAAAGCGATATCGGACCCGTAAAGTATTTTTTCATTTTTGCTGTCTTTTTCGTAAATTATATCTAAATCACATCTAGTTAAATGGTTTGCCAATATCCTCGATCCGCTTTCGAGCAAGATACTCTTAACTCCCTTAAGTGTTTGACTTTCCAAGGGCTTATTGTCGTTAACCGGCAGTAGAATGCTGTGAAAATTTTCAAGATCGATCTTGCTCGGTATATTTAACTTCAGGTGTGGGCATTGAACTAATTTATCTTCCAGTTCTTTATAATTAAAGTTGACGTCAAAAAAGGCAACCGAAGAATCGATGAATCCGCAATGGTATCGCGGATTTTTTATTATCACTCCTGAATTTCTTTGGTTGATTTCTAACGGATCGCCCGTTACGGAACTGAGAGCGGAATCTCCGGATCCGTTTCCTGAATCCGAACCGGAAGCATGGTACGAAGAAACGCGTTGCAAATCGCTGGGAGGCATGAAAGATATTTCTCCATTTTTACGTTCGCCGTCTTCTTCTCCTCTGGGCACTGATGGTACCCTGGAAGGTTTTGGTGGTGGAAGATTACAGTTGACAGTTTCCTCGCTTATCTCCACCACCCGCATTGTTTGATCAGCACCAGGAGAAAGGGATGCACTACTAATTTCCCGCATCATATTCCTATTGTTTCTGTCCAGGGTAAGAGAAGTAAAGTTGAAGGAATCCGCCAGTCTGGTAGCAGGACTCCTTGGCAGAGAATGAGTTGAAAACTTGGAACCTATTAGTCCTTCGTTCCCCATAGAACGGGTCATTGAAGGAAAGTGGATTACTCCATCGGCACTGCTGCATTTCTCTTGGGCAACTCTGTTCACTTCAGATGGTGTTAAAGAGTGTGACCTGTGTTGTTTCGCTGGCATCTTTGGTGGAAGTTCCTTTTCTTGGAGTGTTTTTTGCAGGTTGTGATTGCTGGTGCTGTTTCTTGGTCCTGAAGGGTTTGGCAAAGGAGTTTTGAATCTACTGGAACTATAAATCGAAGGATATTTGGAGGCATAATGGGAGAGGGGATACATTCGATTCTTAGGATAGCGTATACGGGCCTCAGATGCTACAGTTATGGGTTTTTCAGATCCTACGTAGAAGGTTATTAGGTCAGGAACTGTGTCGAAGGCTTCGTCTTCGAACTGAAACTGAATTTTTTCGTACACTGTGTCTGGGTGCACAATAACCTTGTTGATTACGAAATGAAGTACTTGGCTTTTAGTCCTGCACGTTAACACATAGTTACCCGGTTGTGAGGTGCAATCGCGAACTAGAAAACCACCCTCTTCATTGACTATTTCTTCAGCCCGATGACGTGGAATTGACCCATGATACCAGGCGTGCGATCTAAGATCTCTTGTATCCAGCGATAGCTCTTTTTCTAACGATTTCTTTAGAGATTCTGTGTCCATTTCTATTTTATTTGGTTCCGATTTTGGTATCTGGAAAACAGGATGTTTTGTTTGACGCACACTAAATTTGGCGATTAAAAAAAAAACACATTTTTTACGAGTATATTAAAAAGAAAACCCAATTGCATTAATAATGACTTCATACTTGGTTCCACGCACAGAATTATAAACTTTATGAAAAGCTCTTACCAAAACTTAATTTCTAAAACTTTTGCCCACAGTAAGTCGATTACCAACTCACACAATGTGGCATAGAATGCATACTGCAATCATAACCGTAAGTTTTTTGCAGATAAGTTGTTTAAATATCTGCTTCCAAACCTACTGATTATTAATTTTATTATTTACTTGCCATACAGCATAATACACTATCTATCATTTATGTAAACTATCGAATATTATTTACTATAATTCATTACATAACTTATTTACTTATTGTATTTGCAAAAATTGAACTCATTTGTATTTTGATTTTAAAATTGTTATCAAAAGAAAACACACCCACAGTTAACAATAAAATCGTCTTGTACTTACTGTTAGCAGGTCATCTAAACTTTTACTTTGGGCTGGCTTCTCATTTTCCCTAGGGTAAAAAGAGAGTTAATTATTATTCTAGTGAACGTAAAACAGAAGTTATGATTACCAAACGTGGGCTTATTATCTTTAATTTTGTTTGTTGGGTACCATTAGGTAGAACTACCAATTGTAAAGAATTTAAAGCTCATTCTTTTTGTGATTTTGACGTAGGCACAAAAGTTTGATGAACTATTTAAATTTCACTTTCTTTAACTGATTTTACAAAAAAGTTTATCCTTTTGCGGTTTGAAGCATTGCCTCGGCACTAATTATTTTCATAGTAAACACCCTAGTAAAGAAAGATTAAGATATCGTAGGTCTTTTCGTAACTAATTCGTTATTTTACAATTTTCTTAATTTTAATAATTTCACAATAATTTAATTTCCACATTGTTCTGTTTGGGTTCACACAGACTAGTCACACATATTAACGATATATTGCTCCCAAAATTCCTGTCAACCCGGTGCTAGTACACACATATACGCACACACACCCCCGTGCCAAGATAAGAACCCTACGTGTAAAATATTGATCCGGGTTAGGCGCAGGCTCCCTTCGGTCTAAAACCGAATTCGTTCGTTTCCTTTCTCTATCTTTTGTTCTATATGCGGCTAGAAGTCGGACGAGATAAGAGATAAAGTGTGAATGCAACTAGGGGAGTAGAAGTAATAGTAATCACGAACAACGACAAAAAATGTATTGTTACACTAGCAGCGATTTGTGAAATGTACTACTATCGCAACAGTTGTTTAAGATAAAACGTTTTCAAATGAAAACCGTACTGTTAAATACAGTCGCATAAAAGACTATGCTTTTGGTTGCAATTTATTTGAAAATATTAATGAAAATCATTTTAATTTTAATTAAAAAAGTCGTAGTAGATGTTGCATTTACATTAAAATATTGTAGTATAACTAGCTAATATAAACAGGATAGTTAAGTTAGAATAAGAAATCATAAAAACTACAAACACATACTTTGTTTAAATGTTACAGACATGGTTGTGTTAGAAATACACTTAGACTGTCGGACTTCAAATTCAATTAATAAAGATAAGAATTGCTTCTCTAAAATCTAGAAAAGTCTATCTCTTTTTTGAGTTTAGTTTAGGACTTAAATTAAAAGCCATGGTAAAAATTTGTTTCGATTGCTATACCTACTCTTTTAGCAACTTCTCAAGATTATTTATATTAAGGATAACGACAAAAAATGTATTGTTACACTAGCAGCGACTTGTGAAATGTACTACTATCGCAACAATTGTTTAAGATAAAACGTTTTCAAATGAAAACCGTACTGTTAAATACAGTCGCATGAAAGACTATGCTTTTGGGTGCAATTTATTTGAAAAATTTAATGAAAATCATTTTAATTTTAATTAAAAAATTAATGTTCCTAGTAGACGTTGCATTTACATCAAAATATTGTAGTATAACTAGCTAATATAAACAGGGTGGTTAAGTTAGAATAAGAAATCATAAAAACTAAAAACGCATAGTTTGTTTAAAAGTTTAAAAGACATGGTTGTGTTGGAAATACACCTAGACTTTCGGACTTTAAATTCAATCAATAAATATAATAATTGCTCCTCGAAAATATAGAAAAGTCTGTCTTCTTTTTGAGTTCAGTTTAGGGCTTAAATTAAAAGCTATGGTAGAAGCTTCTTTCTATTGCTACATCTACTCTTTTAACAACTTCTTAAAATTACTTAAGATCAGGTACACAAATTTGGCTTAATGGCTTTGCAGAGTGGTGGGTTATTAGAGAGGAGGGATGTTTTTATTTCTCTTTATCATAATCTGACTATAATTCAGAAGAAAAGACCTGAATATTTATGTTAACAAATAATAATTTTATGTCATATTTGGTGGAGGTGCCGGGTAAAATCATTTTTACTGCTATTTGCCACTATATATTGAAATGTAGGTACATTATGAAAACACAATGATACATATATATTTCATTGTAAATTGCAATATAAATTTTTCTTGTAAGACGTAAGAAAATGTTTCAGTTATGTTTTGTATGAAAATTGTTTATTGTTGAATTTATTTCTCATTTTCTTGTAAAATAATGTCTAACTAATAGTACTTACTTACCCCTCTGCCTTTTGTTGTATTTTTCTGCTATCTATGACTGTACTATGTCTCAAATTGGGCGGATGGATGAGTTTTCCTAAAAAAATGAAAAACGAATACATATTTAAAAACCGCTTGATAAAAACATAACTATATAGGTATTGAAAAACACTAAAAAATACTTGAAAACATCCTGAAAAGCAATTTATTAATTATAGTTAATTACATCAGTGATTATTATTCCAATTATTATACTAGCCGTTAGGCTAAGAATAACTATTATTATATTTTCAAACAACCTAGAACTGCTTACTTAGGAACATTTTTACCCTCATCTGTAGTTGTTTTCTTCTTATGCCTTCTCTCTTTATTAAATTAAAAAAATAAAAACTCCGTCAAAAAATAATTTTAAACTTTACGTCAACAAAGAGATGCACAATTGCTTCCGATGCATCAATACGAGTACAAAAAATTCTCACAATGTTTTCCATGTCTTGTACACAGCTGCTGAGAGACAAGTAAGATATTATATTGCCGTTAATTATTGTAACACAGCGCAACAAAACTATGAACACATGTATGCGCATTAAAGTACATGGCCCATAGTTCAATTAATTAAAAGACAAGTAGGGAGCAGGAACTTGGCTATTTAAGACATATTTATAAGAGCCACTAAGTGACAGATTTTTATTAGCGAATGCGAGATTTCTAACCAGAAGCAGGTGCTTTCTATCATTTCTGTAATTGTTGTTTAACTAGTAGTAAGTATTTATATTATGTTGTTAATAACACAAAAAAAAAACATAACGTGAAGTTATAAAATATTTCTCAATGAAGTACCACAATAATTATTTTGGAAACTAATAGTCCCAGATAAAAATGTTCAGTCTTTCGGTCTCTAAAAGCGAGACTCGAGTCTCCGTCTCTCATCGAGTTTCTCTGGTGTCGCTGAGAGAGACTCTCAAAAAAACTGTTTAGCGTCTCTGAACGAGAGACTCGAGTCGCTTATAGAGAGATCCTCATTTCGTATCCAGTCTCTGAACGAGACTCGAATCTCTGAACGAGAGACTCGAATCTCTGAACGAGAGGCTAGAATCTCTAGAAAAAAGTGGTGTCTTGATAGACATGGGTAAAATTTTCAACATATTTCAGAGATCCCAGTCTTTCTACGAGACACTCGAGTCTCTCGATTTTTTTGTTTATTCATTTAGTCTCTGTGTGAGAGACTCGAATCTCTGAATTAACAATTTTATCGTTCGAGTCTCTCATACAGAGACTGTGAGAGATCCATAAAAACACTTAGGCAATAACTGAGAGACTGTGAAAGACTGCGAGAGACGCTGAAAGACTGAAAAACTCTGAGAGACTGAAAATTTTTGTCTAGGGAGTCAGATGGAAATGTACCAAATAACAACACAAAATAATAGTAAATTGTTTTAAATACAATATTAACAAAGGGGATTAAGGCCTAATTAATATAATTTACTAATTTCAAGAAATTTTCGAATAATTCTATAATTAATTAACTCATCTGTTTGCGATATCATTAAAAATATGAACATGTACTGTATTAGATAATCTACATACGTTGAGGTTTAGTTTTGTTTCTAGAGCTTTTTGGTTTGCTTTTACCCTATTCCAACCTATCCCAACCTGTATGTCAAATTCTTAAAACAATGAATAGAAATTAACAGAAACTAAACAATCGGAATATTGTAAAGAAGTAAACATTACAGTGGGTTTTCTTTGCTGTTGTTGTTTTTCTTTTTGTGACTTTCACCTAGTGGAAAACCTACCTGTGGTAGACATAGTCCCATCATTACGCCTGAAAACCCATATAAATTCCCTAAAGCAGTTTTAGTATCGACTGCAACTTCAATCCACTTGTTTACCATTTCGGTACGTTCTTCATCATCACAGCAAGTCAGTATGGTAACAGCAACTAATAACTTTAGACAGTTGGCCCTGCAAGGTCAATTTTCATATAAATTACCTACATAAACATTCCAGCATCATCTACATTCAAAATCTAGACAAAATAATTATTATCATTCTTATTTTGGTAATTTTGTAAAATTATTTGTGGAACAATCCTTGTATATCGATAATTTTCCGCATGGCTGAGTCGACAATGTGATCTTAGTAAACAAATAAGACTACAGTGATATTTATTAACATTAACGAAAGATGAACTTTCACTTTCTAATAAACAAGCTTTCGATAGACCCTCTCCAGAACACGTTCGAGCTTGCTCTGTCATGCCATAAATAGCAGTAAAACCTTTCGCATGATAACGCGATAACGCGGGTCGGTTTTGTCTTCGAATTGTTACGTGCGGGAATACGGTTTTCGCGAATGACTTTTAGTTTAAGTGCATATATAATTACTGTAGGTGTTTATGTACAATTAGTGAAAAATGGTACTTCACGGGGATATAAACTTTTTACTTCTTGAAAAGCAAGAAAGAAAAAGGAAAAATCTCGAAGGGAAACAATGCTGGCATTGGTGAGTACATTCTTTTGACATTCTTATCCATTTGTGATTCTTGATATTAGCAAAATGATGAACACCGGAAGCATACAATACTTTAGCAAAAAGTATCAATGTTCCTTGAGCGCATAAAATTTTAGAAAAACCTATAAAACTTCCCAACTGGTTAAGGTTTGATGAAAAGTGCTATTTGTAACATTCGCTCACATCCGATCAGACATAAATGTTCTAGATTACCTCGGTAACTTAACAAAAGTAAAAGTTAGTATCAAGGTGGATCATCAAAAGATTCTGAAAATCACAAATTTTTGATTTTTCACAAAGTTGTTGGTGTAATTTAATGCAATAATTACCTATCTTCTCATCTTGTATTATACATATAGTTTCATGCCTCTTTGGGACGCACAAAAGTGAAAGATCTTTTCAAAATTACTGATATCTTATCAAAGGTATAAATATGAAAGAAGGGGCCAGGTTCGGTAAAAATAACGTACGGGATTGCTGGTTAAAAGGGTTGAAATCTGAGTCGGTGCCAAGTTCCATGCAAGGTGCAATGAAGTTAGATTATTCATTGGTATTGAATTGAATCGTAATTTATTGATTATTTATTAGAATTTACCAATCGATAAAAGCAATATCAATGAACTTAATTGGTATATATCTTATATGGAACTTCAGGTCTCAGCCTCTTTACAGAACTCATTGCTAAACTTGACCCCTTATTCGAATTTGTGTTTTCTTATGATTTTGACCTCTTTCTTACCTTTCTATTAAATCATTTCGAAGTTGATGACCATGCGATAGTAATAGTAAAGCGATATCGGACCCGTAAAGTATTTTTTCATTTTTGCTGTCTTTTTCGTAAATTATATCTAAATCACATCTAGTTAAATGGTTTGCCAATATCCTCGATCCGCTTTCGAGCAAGATACTCTTAACTCCCTTAAGTGTTTGACTTTCCAAGGGCTTATTGTCGTTAACCGGCAGTAGAATGCTGTGAAAATTTTCAAGATCGATCTTGCTCGGTATATTTAACTTCAGGTGTGGGCATTGAACTAATTTATCTTCCAGTTCTTTATAATTAAAGTTGACGTCAAAAAAGGCAACCGAAGAATCGATGAATCCGCAATGGTATCGCGGATTTTTTATTATCACTCCTGAATTTCTTTGGTTGAT